TAGTAGGGCACAACCTCACTCGAACCAAACATGGTGGTCTCAACCCCATCCGTTCCAGGAGGACACGGCGTAGTGAACCGCGTGGAGAAAGAAGCTCCCCTCACAGAGACAGCCTTTTGCATCAGTTCCCAGAACACTGGATGTCTGTTTGCCTGACCTTGTTTACCGGAAGAGCTCTCCCAGTGGTCTCCCCTAAACAACAGACATCTGTTTTGATGTCTCTACAGTGTAAAGAGAAAAATGTGCCGCCTGTAAAACGCAGCCCCTTTTGCTAAAATAGCAAACAGCCACATGAAACGATCCCCACAGCCACACCACCCACCTCCCCACACCTCACGCCGACTCAGCCTATGTCCCCTCCCTGAACGGGCATCTTGTCCATCTCCAACCCCCAGACTCAGTCTGGCTGGACACCTTTCCCTTTCTTTGCAGGTCCATATTCAAGCCTTTCATCTTTGTGGATAATGTAAAACCTGTCCCCAAAGCACAGTCTCCCAGTTTTGGGGACGATGACCCTGCCAAAAAGAACCCTCGGTTCCAGGAGAAACCGGATCGCCGGCATGAGCTGTACAAGGCCCATGAGTGGGCACGCGCAGTCATTGGAAGTGACCAGGTGAGGCATGGCATGGCCTGGGGAGGGTGGGCTGGGCCAGGCAGGATGAAGGCAGGCTCTCAGGTAACATAGTACATCCGTCTTTCTAGCATGTTGAATTTCTCCCAGAAACCTGGGCTCCCGACAGCCCTCCTGGAGTGCTGGTATCCATTCCCCCACTCTCTGGAAACCAAGCCAAACCAAAACCAAGGGACTGCTTGTGGTGTTATTCTAGAGCACAGTGGTCTAAGAATCTGCCTCTTATTCACTGTTTGCCTGAGATATAAAAATGTAGTGTTCTAGTAGGGACGACAGCTTTTTTCTCTCACTCTCTGAAATGATATTTATACTTTTGGGGGTTGTCTTAGGCTGAGTTCTCTAGAGAAGTAAAACCAGTGAAGCTCAAGTATGTGCACACACACACACACTCAGATTTATTCAAGGGAACGATTCACACACTGTAGAGGCTTGGAAGTTCTCAGTCCATGGGCCAGATGTGTATGTGGCTACAGGGACCAGTGAACCTAAGATTGGCAGGTCTGACTGCAGCCTCTGGCCACAGAGATGGATGAATCCAGAGTTGCCAAGCAAGGCGGAAGGCTTCTGGTCGCTCCCAGGATTGTCAGGCAGTGCAGCAGGCAGCTGGCTCAAGTCAAAGAACCAAAGGCCAGAAAGATGAGCCAGACACCAGATCCCAACCCACCAGCTTTTCCACAGCATCTACATATGACGATCAGGCCACATCGGAGGAAACGTTCTTTTCACTGATCAGCTGCTCACAGCAAATCTCATCATGGAAATGATTACATCATGTTAGATCTCATCATGAGGAATCATGACATCTTAACTGGCCCAGCCAAGTAGACACACAACCTTAACGATCCTAGGGGTAAAAGATGTTTTATTGGCAATATGTTGTTTTCAAAAAGTAATTCTTTAAAATGCAGCCCTTTTCTTCCAAAGCTTTGGTTAGTTAAGTCATGAGACATCAATTCAAATGAGACAAACGCCCAGTGTGTGTTTCTCAGCACTAAATAGATATCCATAGCAGTCACAGACTTTTATATCAAATCTGAACCTGTACTAACAGCCTTTGCTAACCCTGAGGCCAAGAGGAAGGAAAATGATCATCAAAGACTCATCCATTTCTCCACTTGCCCGTTGAACAATTTGTCCTGGGTACAATTTGCCCTGAAGCAAAGGGACACCTTTTAGGTGCATCGTACATTCTGTGCGAACGGAGTGGGCTACTTCCCCTCTGTTCAGGATGGTGGCCCACGCAAAAAAGAATTCAGAACATGTCCCCAAGAAGGTCTGGTTTGGTTTTCATAGAACTGGCTTTTGCATTCCACGGAAGCGATCGTGTTGACATATATGTCACTCCCCTTGCTTTTTAACACCTATCTTCCTTGCCCAACAATCCCCTTGTCCCTGAACACAGCTGTTGCACTGTGCTGAGTCTCCCCAGTATGGTCCGGATTAGTTCCTGGCCGTGCTTATTTTGTGGGTGGCTGTGAGGAAGCTCAAGTAGCCTGTGGGGGATGGGCCTGTGACTAGTTGGCAACCAGCAGGCAGAAGTAAAAAGGCCACGTGCCCTTGGATAGTCCACCTCAAATATCAAAGAGATGAGATGGAGGAAGTCACATGGGTTTCGAGACGTCAACATGACCATTGGTTTGAGTCAAGGCAGCCTTAGGAAGTGGTGGATGGTTGACAAGAGCCGCCCCTCCTTCCTGGGACTCAGTGGGAAAAATGAGCATTCTTCTCTATCATTTACTGTACATGAAGGGTTCCCAGTGGAAGAAGAGATCGCACTGCTTCAGAAAAAGAGTGAGTGGGAGGTAGGCATAGCACGTGCTTATTTGTTAATCCATCTTTTCACTCAGCAAACATTTGAGGCTGCCTACTATATCCCAGGCATTGGAGAAATCTAGCAGTCTAGTTCTCATGTCCCAGGAGGCCATGGTCTATGCGGGGATAAGGCCAAGTCGGCCAGCAGGACAGGGCAGAAGTAAAAGCAGGGCACAGCATGGAAGCACAGCAGGGGCCCCTAGCCACTTGGGGTCAGGAGTCAGGAAGAGTTGTCCAAAGAAGCCTCAAGAATGGATGTGAATGGACTGAGCGTTGAGGGAGAGAGAGGTCCGACAGAGAGCAGTGTGGTCTGCCCAGTGGTGAGCAAGAGTTGAAGAAATGCAGTTACTTCTGGTTGAGGAGAAGGGAGCTGAGGGGGGGCGTGTGACACCAGGAGAGGTGAATGCGAGCCTTGTGTGGGCAGACCATTCTGCAGACTGCGTTGTAGCGGGGAGCTCTTCAGGTATTCTGAGCAGGGCCGGTGACATAACCACATTGGCATTCTAGAGTGATCCCGGTGACAGCGGTGTGGGAAACACATGGGAGGGGGTGGGTGGGCAGGAAGCCAGCAGGACCCTGGGGAGGCTTTCTTGGCCATTGCAGTTCTCCTCCCCCACACCCCCCACCGCCCCTGGGTCTCCCAGGCCCTCTGCTTCGCTGAGTTGTAAAGTGCCTCTGCCCTTCCGCAGGAGCAAGGTCGCACGCTGAGGAAGACCATGCTGGAACTAGAGAGGCAAGGCCTGGAAGCCATGGAAGAAATCCTGAGCAGCTCCAGCCCCCTGGACCCCGAGGAAGTGGGAGACCTTCTCTATGACTGTGTGGACACGGAGATTAAGTTCTTCAAGTGAGGCGCGCGGTCTTCCCCACTCCCTTATTTGAAACGTCCCACCTTACTAAGGCTCCGGTAAGACACACCGCTCTCCCGTGCAAGTAAAATGAGAACGTGAAGGCGTGCTCCCCCTTGCTGAAGCCCGATGGAACCGAGCAGTCTCGCCCTGCCTCGGATCTCGAAACAGCCCCTTCCTTTGCGATGGCACCCGCCCCCTTCCTCTGCCGTGGAACCCGTCACCACTTGCCTGCTGGTTGGTTGGGTGAGCAAGTGCGGACTCTGAGCCGCTGTTACTGTGCTCCAGTGACAATGGACATGTACCCCTTTCGGAAGAGGACTCGAGGCCACCAGACGGTCCCCTCAGTGCTGACTTGGCAGAAAGAGCCAAGTCTTGTCAAGTTTTATGTTTTTCTCCATCACAGTCTCTCTCTCGCAGCACCCCCACCTCCATCCCTGCCCACCCCAGGTTAACAAAAGGCATTTCTTTGCTGGCCTGGGGTTCTGTGTGCACGATCTCACGGATTTCCCTTAACCCGAGGTACAGGATGTCCCCTGGGGGGACATCTGAGGGGTAGATCCAGAGAGGTTGGAGGGGGCTCCTCTTCAGTCTTTGTGCCCGAAGAACCTGACTTCCATGTCCTGTGTTTCTGTGTGGTGGACCTACAGCGAGGCAGCCAGGCTGGTGGTTCCGAGTCACCCCAAGGATCCTCCCAAAGCGCAGCTGCTCTCCTGCCACAGCGCACGGGGCCCTGCGTAGAAACGATTCCAGGCTGAATTGCCAACAGTTAGTCTAGCATGAATTGAGTGGCCCTCTGGGATCATTCCACCGCCCAAAGCAATGCATTTCTTAGCTAATGAGGGAAAAATAAGGAGAAACTCCGACTGCGTAGGCTCCCATTGAAATAGCTGGGGGCCGAGCAGTTGCTGCATTATCTCAGCAGAGGGACTTTAATTAAACGGATTTGTTTCTAGCATCGTGTTCGAATGAAGGAGTTGATTTCCCACCAGAGTGTGGAAAAGGGTGTAAGGAAGACCAGGTGGGCCCAGGGTGGGGCAGGCAGAGGGCAAGGAGGCATGTTGCCCCAGGATAGCAATCCATTTCTAGCCAACCCCACTCGTTCCAACCCACAAAGCTGTCTGAGAAAGAGCCAGCTCCTGCCGCGCCTTCTTCCCGGGCCTTGGGAGCTGGCAGCTGAAGTGGGTGGATGGTGGTGGGAGGTCTTACCTCCATGGAAGACCACACTCCTCCATTCCGTTCCTGCAATCGAAGGGGGTGCCGGGTGTGTGCTAACCCATTCAGCGGGGGTGGTGAGGGGGTGGTGGGGTGGAGTGGGTTTCATGACCTCCCCTCCTCACCTGTCCCTTTTGAGCCTAACCAACAGCATTGTGCTTGAGAATTTGCATGTGGAAGTGTTGTATCAATGGCCTCCAAGGTGTCTTCGAGTTACTTGCTCAGCTTCAAGGGCTGTCAATAAAGCCGGAAGGCCTGGGCCTATCATTGTACACATGAGGGGGGCAGGGGGGCCCTGAAGGCCAGAGGCTCTGCTGGAATCAGTCTTTCTCCCAACTCCCTGTTAGGAGCTCGGGGCTAAGGGTCAGGAGCTTTCTGTTCGGCAGTTTCGTAAGTGCTGTGCAGACATCCCATGAAGGACAAATGGGGTGGGGTGGGAAGGTTTAGGCTTACAAAGCTCCTGGTCACCAATGTGGGAGGGTAGCTTGTCCTTGCTGAGTTCTGTACCGGATGGATGCAGAACTGTCAGAGGCTTTTCGAGGGAGAGGGGCCCTTCTGGGAGAATCTGTCTGTAGCTGGTGGGAGAGTGACGGGGCACTTGGGTCCCTGACAGGGCAGCTCGAGGCTGCCATGCTCGGGGGTGATTCCAATCAAGATGACGCAGGAAGGTGGTACTCTCACCTATTCTCGGGAACATTTCGTCCGTGCTGAGACCCCTAAGGTGACTCAGGGTTTGATGAAAGGAAATTAGATGAGAGTTGATGACAGAGCGGCCCAGACAGATCAAGGTCACAGGGGACCTGGCCAGCCTTAGGCCAACGACCGCCACAGCAGCTTCTGTTAGGGGACAGATGCCTTCACATCTGTGGAGAAGCACTCACCATGCTAACAGAGGCTGTTGTCACGACTGCTGTACGTCCCTGGGATCCTGGTGGCACAGCGGTTATGAATTGGGCTGCTAACTAGAGTCAGCAGTTCGAACCCACAAGCCTCTCCTGCGAGCAAAGATAGACAGCCGCAGACACCCACAGGGGCAGTTGTCCTCCGCCCTGTAGGACCTTGATGAGTCGGAATTGGCTTCAGGGCAAAGGATACATTATTAGCAGGCATCCTGGAGGGTACAAATGGCTAGTGAGCTTGTTGCTCGTGGAGAGGTCGCAAGTTTTGAGTGCCTTCCGAAGTGCCTCAGATGGAAGACCTGTGGTCTTAAAAAAATAAAAGAGCAGCCACTGAAAGCCCTTTGGAGCGCAGTTCACGTATGGGCGGCCGTGGATGGAAAGGGACTCAAGCCACAGCTGCCACATCAGCACGTGGTCTCCGTCCCTGGCCACTAGAGGGCAGCGTTCCATGTCAAAGTGGAACTGGGAGAGGTGGAGCCCCTTACTGGACTTGCAGTGGGAGGGAGTGGGAGGGGTGGGGGAACCAAGGAGAACTGAAGTGCTGCTGATGTGTCTGCCCTCACTTCCCGTGACTTTGAGCTACTTCAAGAGCAGCTTGAGCTCGCTTGGCTCTCCAGCAGGCTGTCAGTGGTGGGATGTCACTTGTAGTGACCCGGACAGACTTCACGTTTGAAAAATGCTCTTCGTTACACGGAGCAGAGGCTGCTTTTCAAAAGGCTGCAGGGGTGGGGGTGGGGGGCGGGAGTGAGCGCTCGAGGTGAAATATAAAGAAACGTTGAAGTCACCGTGTGTAAATAGCGTCATAGCATATCATTTGTGTGTTAGGATTTGGGGGGCGGGGGAGATGCCTATACATGCTCCCCACCAAGCCAGACATGAGCTAGTTCCGTCTTGTCCAGTAGATAGGCCTCCTGTGGGCCCAGCCAGGGACGGGGCCACCAGGACATGAATTAGACAAGTAGAAGCAGCCGTGTTAGCTTCCTGGAGGTGCTTTGGAACTGTGGGTGAAGGCGAAGGGTGTAATCAGAGTGATGGTGATTCTGTCGTAATCCAAGCCTAAGACACCGTGTCACTATTAGGAGTCTGTCTGTCTGTCTTACTAGCTATCTACCATAGTAGTGGTAAGCCTAATGGAGCTTCACTATGAAGATTCTTTCCTATTGGGTGATTCTTGAGGTTGCAAAACATAATCATCAACCAGGCACATTGCTTTGCTTCCTGACAGATGGAACAGGTGTGGTACAGCACCGGCTGGCCTTGGGGGAGGCCAGGTGGGACTAGTGTGTCTGTTATGAAACCACAAACTACATTTTTGATGTGAGATCCATTTGTCGTTTATGGGGATGCTCTCCTATGGAGCTCTTCCTTGGGAGGGAGCATGTGGTACAGGGAAGAGGGTGGGACGCCCTGCTAGCCGGCTGACCAGCCTGTGCAGTGTGGGAGAGAGTGCTGTACCCCACACCCTCGTGACCCCCGCATGGCATTCCACACAGTCCAGAGTCCCAGCCCTCTTCCTCCCGTGTGTGTGTCTAAACGTGTTTTCTCTGTGCAATCCCAAACATCCACACTTGGAGAGTTCTTGTGGGAAACAGGTGCACACCTGTGTGCAGTCATGTCGCGAGAATGTAAGTGTGTTGCTGGGAAATGCTATTGGCAAGGAATAATTAAAAAAAGAAAGAAAATCTTTCTGTTTCCTGCAGTGGGAACAGGTCAGGTCACCCTAACAGTCTTTTGTATCTGCAAACTGGACACCTTTCCCACCCGCGGCTTGCCCTTGGAACTGTCTCTCTGTGCATCAAGCATACAATAAAAGATGCTGAAGCCACTGTCCAGAGGCCTCGTCTGTCTTGTGTTTCCTGGATAAATGTGGGCACCAGATACACACACACATACACAGTGCGTGGAAAGAGGTGTATTGTTCTGACTGGAATCTTCCAGAAACGCAGATCCCAACCCTCACAGTGCAGAACACTTCAGTTTCTTCCATTCTGCATCATTCTCTGGGTAAATTCACACCTCAGAATGGAGCAGAAACTCTACTAGAAGCCGAAGCCTATTTCATTTGGATGGCTGAAGTCATTTACGCAAAGCATCTTCGTGCTACACTGGTGCTAGCCCTGTAAGCAGGAGAAGCTGCCCCTTAAGAAAACAAACAGCTTTTCCACCCTGTGATTGGAAACCGCCACAATCCCATCTCTGCCATGACAATCAAAATGCAACCGGAAGCCTTTTGAGGCCAAATCTGACTAAGTGCCGGCCACTAGCTCACCTCCACTTGCTAAGTCACTCTTATGTAACACTTGCGAGGGTGACCTTGGGGACCTGGGCTCCTGGAAGCCCGCCACCCTTGTTCTGCAGAGTCATAGAACCCCCTGCTTGCCTTGGGGGGTGGGGGGCACAGGCACTGAAGGGGACCCTGCCCCTTCCCAGGAGCCAGCCTTGGCTGCTAAGTCCTTAATAAACCCCTGTATCACCATGCTGGAACTTCAGTCTCCGGCTCTGTGCTTTCGTGACCAGATGGAGTAGAGCCCTCGGAAAGCTCAGCAAGCAGCCATATGCTTTGCCCAAGGAGAGACTGGTGGGTTTGAACTGCTGACCTTGTGATTAGCAGCTCAATGCAGAGCCCACTATACTATCAGGACTTCTCACAACATTCTAGGCAAATTAGAAGATGAGACTTTCTACTCCCATTAAGAGTTACAGTCTCGGAAACCCACAGAGGCACTTCTACCCTGCCCTACCAGGGGCATTAGGAGTCAGCATTGTCTCAAGGGCAATGAGTTTGATTTGCTTTCTTGGCCTGTGCCCAGACAGATAACAGTTCAGCCTGGATACTGAAGACATGGCTGAGCAAGGAGAGGCATCTGCCAGGGGCAGCCCCAGGGTGGGGCAGCCCCAGGGTGAGGCAGCCATGTAGGAAGCTCTGGCACAAGTACCGCGAGAGCATGGGCAAGCTGTGGACTCATGAATGCTGTGGGCATCCCACGTAGTGCCTGAGAGCCACGGCAGGAGTAGAGTGGGAAAACTCGCTGCTCCTTGGGGCCCTACAGGACAGAGTAGAACTGCCCCTGTGGGTTTCCCAGACTGAAACACTGTAAGGAGTAGAAAGCCTCCTCTCCAGCAAAGCAGACAGTGGAGTCCACCTGCCGACCTTGAAGTTAGCAGGTCAAAGTGTAACCCACTGTGCCACTTGGACTCTGAACACGCCAGTGCACAGCACAGTGTGGGAAAGCACAGTGCACCCTAAGTGTGCAAGACCATCTGAGGGCCGAGGAGTGGTGACTGGAACAGAGGTTTCTACACTGGGCAAATGGGCTGCCCACCAACACCGACAAGCCCTGAAGGCTTCAGGAGCTGCCATCAGAAGCAGGAGGAGCTACAGTCAGAAGAGGTCCTGTGTGGGGCCGCAGAACACACACACACACACACACACACACAGCACCTCAAATTCACTACCATCAAGTCGATTCCAACTCACAGGGACCCTGTAGGACAGGGGAGGCTTGCTCTTGTGGGTTTCCATGACTCAGACCTCTTTACGGGAGTAGAAAGCCTCATCTTTCTCCTGTGGAGGGAATGGTGGTTTCAAACTGCTGACCTTGCACCACTAAGCCACCAAGACTCTTTATGTGTGGGGATTCGGCTGTCTGGAACCCTGAAACCTCCTGTGAACTGGGTGAGCAAGACCGCGGAGGAGGTGGTTCTGGGAGAGTGTGGAGTGTGAGTGAGGAAGCCCAGCCACCTCTATCAGCCAGAGCCCCAGCTGGGTGTGGCGACTGCTCTGTTCCCTCCCTCTTGCCCAGGCTGCGAGGGCAGTGAGAGGCAGCCATGGGGCGGGGAAGGGAATACGCACTTGGGAGGAGCCGCTGGACTCGAGTCCCTGTGTGTCTGGTGTCCCAGGAAACTGCTTGCCGTTCCCGTCCCTTCTTCTTCTCTCCCCTCCCCACTGCCCCCACCCTGCTCACAAATGGTGCCATGGCCAAAGTCAGTAGGAAAGAATGTACCTCCCCCTCTGGCAGGACCAGATGGTGATTGCTCTGCTGCAGAGACAGAAACAAGGGCCTTATAGGTGACCCCACCCTCGGGTAACTACACCTACGCGGAGCACCTGCAGGGGCCTCGTGAAAGAAGGGCTAGTGAGCTGTGGGGAAAGGGAGAGAGGGTGAAAG